GCTCAGCGGGGTCATGATGATGATGTTTCCAGCACCAGTGAAGATGACGGGTATCCTGAGGACATGGATCAAGATAAGCATGATGACAGTAGTGATGACAGCGACACTGACAGATCAGATGGAGAAAGTGAAGGGGATGAATTTGTGCACCGTGATGATAACGAGAGAGATAACAATGAAGAAAAAAAGTCAGGTATGTGCAAATGAAAGTTCCATGGCTTGATCAATAAGTAGCACACAAGATGAAAGTCCTGATTTATTAATGCATCTGTGAAAGTAATTGTGAACACCTTGAAAAGAAGGATCATAGCTTTATTCATTTTTATATCACAAAAATCTAAAAAGTTCTGGACACATAGTACTCAGTGGACATTTGGGGGTCTGGATAAGAAAGAAGAATAACCACATAACTATATTGAGAAAGCCATATTCACGTTGTTGTTTTTTGGTTAAGTCTGCTTAAATATTTGCATTTGAAGCCGTTTTAATTTTTTGTGTTCATTGTGTCTCACATCAACCAGACCATAATTATAATTTAGCTACACCTGTGAGTGGAATCATGATCTAATGGAAACATCCATAATGTATGATATATGTCCATTTGATTATTATAAAATCAGACTGAGTTATGTGTATTTTTAGTTATGACAGTCATCAAGAAAATTTTAAGCATCATGATAGATACTGAGCAATACAAAATGTATAATCTGTCACACCTCAGTAGTCCTGGAGTTTCTTTTAAGATTGTTTTTGTAGGGGTGCCTGGATGGGTCAGTGGGTTAAGCGTCCAACTCTTGATTTCAGCTCAGGTCATGATCTCAGGGTTGTGGGATCAAGCCCTGCGTCAGGGTCTGCCGTCAACGCAGTCTTCCTCGCCCTCTGCCCCTCCCCCTGCTCATGCATATACACGTATGCTTTCTATCTCTGCCTCAAAAATAAATAAGAGCTTTAAAAAAAAGAAAGAAGTTGTTTTTGTAGCCTACAACACCGTATTTATGTGGTTGTAATACTACTGATGTTCGTATTTATAATGATGACAAATTTTTGTTCTGATATTTTTTTTTTTTAAATATTTTTTTTTAATTTTTTTAAAGATTTTATTTATTTGAGAGAGAGAATGAGATAGAGAGCATGAGAGGGGGGAGGGTCAGAGAGAGAAGCAGACTCCCTGTTGAGCAGGGAGCCCGACGTGGGACTCGATCCCGGGACTCCAGGATCATGACCTGAGCCGAAGGCAGTCACTTCACCAACTGAGCCACCCAGGCGCCCTGTTCAGATTTTCTATTTCTTCCTGTTTCAGTTTTCGTAGTGTATATGTTTCTAGGAATTTATCCATTTCTTCCACATTGCCCAGTTTGTTGGCATATGGTTTCTCATAATCATCTCTTATAGTTGTTTGTATTTCTGTGGTGTTGGTTGTGATCACTCCTCTTTCATCTGTGATTTTATTTATTTGGGTTCTTTCTCTTTTTGATAGGTCTGGGTAGGGGATTATCAGTTTTGTTAATTCTTTCAAAGAACCAGCTCCTAGTTTCATTGATCTGTTCTACTGTGTGTTTTTTTTATTTCTATATCATTTGTTTCTGTTCTAATCTTTATTATTTCCCTTCTTCTGCTGTTTTTATGGATTGCTGTTTTTTTCCCCCAACTCCATTTGGTGTAAG